TTGACCTGGGGATCCTGCAGCAAAGAAAGTTTTGCTCTGCGAAAGGCGGGAAAGTCGCTTTCTGTTCTAGCGAGCAAACACCCCGACTTCTCCCCCTCCCGTGTGTGTAGACACGATACCCTTGTCGAGGATTCCTCGGCCATGGCTTATACCGCACGTGGGGAAAAAATCTAGGATAGTGCTACGATAGTGGACCACCACGTCCCATGCTTTTAAATTCGTCGCTTAATGAAGTTGGCTTTTCAAAACGACTTCATTACTCTGTTACTTTTTTCTCATCACCTTTTCTCACCAGTTGAGCCTATGATCAACAGCTATATATTTTCAGCAATGGCCAACGTTACAAGTGCCTCTCCCGGTCGTGCACAACAAATACCACATATAATATCCACTCCTTCTCCTCGTCCAAGCATCTTACGTAAAAGAGGAGACACTGGGAGCGCACCAGGAGGGTCCGCAAAGAGACGCCTGCCGTTCATGAAAGATGCACCAATTCCCCCTACTAATCCAGCGCAGATGGCCACAAGTTACAGTGCAGGGCCCACACCACAGGCACTGCCACAGACATTGCTGCCGTGAGTTTTGCGACCGTAACGACTTATTTTAGAAGTTTGTACTTGGTAGTGGTAATTGTCCAATTCCGTGTTTTTCAGGAACGCTGAGGTGAGCAAAATAATTCAGCAGGATTCATTAATTGTGGAACTGTTATATACGCTTCAACGAGTGTTTTTTCTTATTTATTTTTTACCTTTGTCTTCAGATTCAGATTTTGCAACATAATTCTCATGAAAGAGATCGATTTTTTTTTGTTTAGTGCAGTAACGTGAATACTGAGGAAAGTCCGCGAAAGAGAATGAGAAAACAACAGTTTGAGACGGACACCATTCCAGATCAGATCAAGGTGACCTTTTTGAATGTTTTTTCCCTATAGATCGAATTTTAAAAATCTACTGATTAGGCCTGGGGGAAATACCCATTAGCCGCGATAATGCAGTTAGTAAGATAGGGGGCTGACCCGGTAACACAAATATTTCATTCATTTTTGAAGTTTTGATTTTGCTCTGTTCTGTAGTCGTTCTAAGCGCTTGCAAAGCCATTTATACCCGACTTTGATAATTTATGAAAATGGTTATCAAGGGTAAATGCCACATTCTGAGGACATAATCTCGTTACTACTGGTGTGAAGACTTCGTGCAATGTACACATCATCGCTGTAATAATAGTACACGCTAAAGAAGCATAAGTGACATTTATACAAATTGAACTTAAGCGCAAAAACTTCACTTTGTAAGTATCGATCGAGAAAAGCTCATTAATGAGTCAGCAACTGTCCCAGTCCAAGGCACACTGTTGTTGTCAACGAATGAAAGAACTTTCAAACTTGTCGTTAGTAGGAAGACTCAATATACAAAGAGTTATGAATCCAGAGTGGATGTGGGAATGTTGCCCTTTGTGGCATGTCTCAGGAGCCCTACACCGGTTCCATTTGGCAATTCAATTGTATTGCTGCATACCCTCAAATGAGCCCACGATTGGTTCCGTTGGTGAAAGTCGGCCCATGGAATTATTTCACAGGTCGAAGTTACACAGTTTAACACGTTGACGACGTACGCGTTTGTGCGTTTTGCACGCGAGTGGGACAGAGCAATTTTGCGAGCGCAGACCTTGTCGCTCTGAAACGGCGAAATCCGAAATTTTGAGCTGTAAATACGCAGAAATGTAAAACGAAAAAAGAAAGAAAGAAAAAGAAAAGAAAGAAGTGTTACCAATCCCCTGGCTCAATAATTTTTTAGGCGGTTGCTAACTAAAACACTATGCTCCCAGCAAAATAGGTTTGTATTCACTTCTGTTATTCCTTTTTATCAACATGTCTACGTTATTGAAAAGAAAACGAGGAATGAATTGAACAGACATATCCGTAAGGTCTGGAAAATGTCTGCCAAACTAAAGAATATTTGGCCTTTCTGTGAGCCATGTGGTTTTTAGAGTATGCTAATGTATGACCTATAGAATGAGTACAAAGACCTTAGGAATAAGTCGCACAAGCGCAAGAAAAAGGGATGACTTGGGTGGGACGCGTTACCGCGTCACAATGTCCCACGAGGTGCGCAAAGTGGGACGCGTTACCGCGTCACGCTGTCGTCAACGTGTTAAAGTTTAATGTTTGGACAAAGACACAGTTCTCTTCCGCTAATCGTTCGCGATTAATGGGACTGTTGATCTTCCCGGAACCGTGCAGTATTATCAAGAGTCATATGTGATGTTTGAATAGTGAAAATTAATCTGTGAAATTTGGCCTTGCAAGTGCGTTTAGACTTTTGAGCATTTCAAGAAGAAATTAAAAAAACATCAAATGCATCGAAAACGAACTGTCGTGATGCTTGAATCCGTCTGCCTATCGACTGCGTCTGAGGAGTATAATGGCCTTAAGATTGCCCAATTGTGGGAAGCGGATATCACAGTCAAAGTCCTTAACTCTATTTCAAGAATTGTTCATCAGATGAGGGGATATTCTGAGTCACGTTCCTAACATTGCAAGACTTACACAACTCGAAATGGTATGACGGATTAAGAACTTTTTCAGTCGTGATGATTAGTCTAACTAAGGTCCCACAGGTTCTTGAGCGGTGATGTCCGCTTCCGTCAGCAGGCATGAACGATGTGAGGATATGCAAAGAGTGTGTGCTCTTTGCACACCAAATTGTATTGGGATACAATTGAGCTTGCAGCTAAAACCAAAAGAATCCGTCGAAAATGTTTAGGTTAAGGGTTAGTCCCGCCGTATCGGCTGTGCTAAGCAATGAGCCGATTCCCACGTGTGCGGAGGGGGAGAGTATGAGGAAGAGAACGTAGCAGGATAGAAGGCAAAAAGCCGGGAAACTGCAGCATGCTGCCCAGCTCGTTTTGTCAGACTGGCGCCTTTCGTTGTTGTTCGTGCACAGGGAATACCTACGCTGTGATTACCTTGTGAGGGGTCTATCCTACAAAGCGAAAGGCATCGTTCACACGACTTCTGCCTGGTGTGCCTTTGATCGGTTACTTTTATATCTCATATATTTACTCAATCTTCCACACTCATTATGTCCTACCATCCTTCCTTGTTGCTTTTTCTTTCGTCGTTTGTGCGCCTCGACTTCTTTTTGGGTTTACCGGCTTTCCTCTCTTCGTTTATGTTACTTGGTTTCCCCTTCTTCAGTGTCGTTCTTCGTTTTTTCCTTCTTTCTGAGTGCCATCACTTCCACGTCCCTCTCGGTGCAAATCTAGTATGGAGGGCTGCTACACTTTACGCCTCACTTGTTCATTTATGGCTCAGACGCTACGCATGCAGCGATATGCTTTCGTTTCTACATCGTTTTCTCGAGTCTCATGGTAAAAGATCGATTTCTATGCCGATCGCTTCGATTTCTGAGCTGTGACACTCATTCCCGCTCTCACGCATCCACGCGTTTTGCTGGAAATCCAGAGAATTCTATATTTAAGTAACGCGCGTTAGAGAACAGAGCGTCGTTGGTATGGCTCCTTCACGGCGAGGCATTCTGAAGTTACGCTGCTAACAGCATAATCGCCGGTTCAAGGCCTCGTCGGAATGTGGCTCAGCGCGCGCCACAGCTGGTGGGGGGGAGGGGAATGGGGAGGTAGGGTTAACCGTGACATCAGTAAACTTCCTACTTCAGTACGACTCGCTTATGTGAATGAGGCTCTCGGTATGCTCCCTTTTCCTCCCTCTGAACGTTTCTGAGGAAATTGAGGCTACTGAGAAATTGGCAAAGACACGAATTAGATGAAAATATCCAGCTTTGTTTTTCAGATGGCCATTGATGTTATACAACCAGTTGCTCTCGGTTCTGAAATGTGGAGGTTAGGCGACCATTCGAGATTGATGTGAGTTCGTGACGTTCCGCTTTCTGTTTTAGTATTTGGGTCTGTTGTCCGAAGGTGGGACGTATGCTGACGGAATCCGCTGACGAAAAAACATGTTAAGAACTGTCAAGCCTACCGTTTGCTCTCAAGTGTAGACAAAGACAGAACATGTCAGGTACTACGGCCTTGACATGTCTTGTGTTGTTAAGTGTCGAGAGCGAGAGTCTGTATGTCAGGTCCTAACATGTTCTTCTCTGTTAGTACCAGCGCGAACAGTTACGTCAGCAGATGTCCCGCTTTCGAACAACAGACCTTGGTATTGTTGTTATTCTTTATTCTTTTCTTTTTATTTTTTTTCTTCTTTTTTTTGTTCTTTTTTGTGTTGGTCGGATTCCTGTTATCAAATATCCTTTCCCAGATAATCATTGCTTTTCAAAAGAGGAAATTAAATTGCCTTCTTACAGTTTTCGCTGTTTGAAATGAATTGATTTATTGTTAGTTAATTCTAATTTTACATTATTAACATGCTATGTTGGCAACTACCTTACTAGTTATTTTCATTGCATTTGTTTGGCATTACATGAGCATTTTTCAGGGATTCGTTTGCCTTAATGGGAATAGGTGAAAAAAAGAAGCGAGGTAGGCCTCGAGCGAATTCCCGTCCAGCAACAGGTACCTCATCACTCTTTCTTTTTGTTTCGAGTGTTATTTGAATGTGTTTTTTTATAATGTTGTTCTTGGCGATGGCTTCGTAATTCTTGAATTTGGCGTTATATTTTATATTGGTCCCCTAGAAGAAATTGCATAGGAAGTGACGCAGCGTTAGCGTGCACCTATACAAGAAAGGAAAAGTGTGGAAGTGCAAGGAGACAGCCCTCGTTGAACCTCCATGATTAGTTGTTGCTATGAAAGAAGTTTCCACGCAAAAAACATCGATGAAATTCCAAAAAAGTTGTAGTCTAAGGGCTGGAGGGTGGAGTAACACACTAAGACGTCAAGATGCCTAGAGATGGGGCTGGTAGCATCCAGAAAGAAGCTACATCGAAGTAGCCTTGTACGATGATGGAGGAAAAGCTTCATGGGCTTGTGGAGATCGGAATAATGTACATCTATTTCTGGGCTTTACATTGGCGGACGGATCAGTCAAAGAAGGTGTATGGTTTATATTTGCTATCACGCACCACAGCTACCAGCAAATAACAGCATTCCCAGCTCGCATAAGTTCTAAAAATAGATTGCTTTTCTATATATTTGCGACATAAAACAACATTTGAAGTGTAGAAGTGCTTGATGTTACTATCTTTGTAAGTATACAAAGGCTTTGCGAAGAAAAAAGGAATGAGTTCTAGGAGCTAAAAAAACTTTTACCTGCTCTGTATTTGTGATTATTTAAATGTTAGCTTAAAGAATTTTCCGGCACCTTTTTCCAGTGCAACCAATCGAGTTGCATCAAAGTGTGAGCGTTTTCGTGGATATCGACAGCCCGAAAGAAGGTCAAGCGAATTCACTTGCAGGAGTTGTGTTATTTGTTTCCCAGTTTCGGTTTATTTTCGTTGAGGTGATTTGGAATAAGCTCCTATGTTCAGAACCGGCTTGTTTTCGTGGTACAGCAGCGAGTGTACCTCCTGTTCATCTGGAAGGTTC